GGACGTGAGTTGCACTAAGCCATTTGTAGTGCTTTCTAATTTAACTGTTTATTTCTTGTATTGTATATTTATCTGTATATGATTTAACAGTGCATTTCTCGTTATATATCTAATTATCTTTATAAATAAATATATTAAGTTATCAGGAATTTGGTTTTATCTCCCTAGAGAACCCTGTCTAACACACACCCCCGTGAGTTTCTGAGACTGTAGCTCTTTGAAAGCCTCATCTTTCTCCCGAGGGGCTGGTTTCAAACTGCACACCTTGCAGATCATGGCCCAACTGGAAACCACTATGCTAGAGACTTACATACTCTGTCCAACTCCAAGAGATTTTACTTCGGAGCCTGTACTCATGGCAACCAGGATTCTTCTCCTCCTTCCTCCAACTCAAACCCAACAAAACATCACTTCTGTGTATGTTGAATGGTGCACAGTAGTTCTCAGAGCTTGCTAATCAGGGAGTAGCAGCGATGCATGCGCACATTACTTATCTGACTCACTGGAAAGCCTCATGAATTTCAATAGTATCAAGGGGGCCAAAATGTAACATATAGGTTGCCGCTAAATTTTCCTAAGGTTTTGAAAACCACATTGAAATTTAGGGGACAGTTCCCAACATCAACTGCTCTCTTTCTAAGAAATGTGTCTCTTCTTGGGATTGAAATGGCATGGTTTGCAAGCAGTAAGCTTAAAGTACGACCATGCTATGCAGAATCTCAAATTGCCTTAAAATAACATTATTATGCGCATTAAAATCTGTAGCTTTCCTTTCCGGTGTGATTGCTTTGCTTGATCAAATTAAAAGTCAGGTTTTTCTATTCTGCCTTATTTCTTAGACTAAATGAAATTGTTCCATTAAAGCAAATAGAAGCTTGATAATGATTTGATTCGAGTTTTAATTGGAATGTCCTTCTCAGAATATTTCACAATTCTAGGCTTAGTCCCCAGTACTTACAATATTTTCAGATAGAGGATAGGAGCCAGAACTGGGTTGTCACCCTGGTAGCACTTGAACAAGGAGCCCTAGTGGCAATGTTGGGAAACCACAAAGTTGTGGTTTAAACCCACCAGCCGCTCTGACTGAGGAAAACGAGGCTCTCTGCTCCTGTAAAGGTGGATAGCGTTGGAGACCCCAAATACTATCAAGATGAGTCAGAATCTACTCGTTGGCAATGGGTAGAACTTGACCAGCTGAACTCCTGGCAGCATTGTAAACACCATTTCTCCCCAGCACCCTACCTGTGACAGAAAGGGTGCTGGCGAGGAATATTTAATTCATCATAGAACTCATTAAAGAGAAGAAAACACTGAAAGCAAGGACCACCCTACAGGATTTTTCTTAACAAATAAAACAAAAACAAAACACCATTCTTCTTGGGATGGATTGAATTATGCGCCCCCCCCACTTCCCCGATGGCCTCCCCACCCCACCCCCGCCCCCACCAATATTGGTTGGAAGTTCTTCCAATATACCTGTGGATGTAAGTCCATTTGGGAATAGGGTTTTTATCTGCTGTGTTCATGAGGCCCTCTCAGAGTAGGGTGTGCCTTAAGGCTAACCACTTTTTCTTAACGATCATTTTATTAGGGGCTCATACATCTCTTATCACAACCCATACATACATCAATTGTGTAAAGCACATTTGTACATTCATTGCCCTCATCATCCTCAAAACATTTGCTCTCCACTTAAACCCCTGGCATCAGCTCCTCATTCCCCCCTCCCTCCCAGCTTCCCCTCCCTTATGAACCCTTGATAATTTATAAATTATTATTTTGTCATATCTTACACTGTCCGACATCTCCCTTCACCCACTTTTCTGTTGTCCATTCCCCCAGGGAGGAGGTTATATGTAGATCCCTGTAATCGGTTCCCCCTTTCCACCCTCCCCTCCCTCCACCCTCCTGGTATCAAAGCTAACCACTTTTAAGATATAAACATGGTCCGATTAAGCACAGGTGGTCTGCATAAATGGGGACATGATGATGTCTCGGGATCTCACCGAGGAAGTGAGTCACACCGTTGGTAGAAAGTAAAAACTGGAGGAGGCTCTTCCCCCAGTGTCAACAGAGAGAAGGGGGAGGGGAGGAAGTGGGAGAGAGAGAGAGAGAGAGAGAGAGAGAGAGAGAGAAGAAAAGGACGGAGGAGGAGGAAGAAGAAGGAGACCCATCCCCTAGACCGATGTCCTTAATTCCTTCTTCTAGTCCCTGGAACGTGGGGAAATACATGCCTGTTCTGTAAAACACCCCTGCAGCATTAGGAAGCTGGGCCTGGCTTGCAAGGGGGTGACCGCTTAGCAAGTGACCGTCACACTGCCTCCTCCTGTTTTCCAAAACGGACTGCGCCAAACTTACAACCCTTTCATTTCTCCTTCCCTTCTTTCCCCACCTCTTTAATCAAGGCTTTCTCACAGCCATGAGGCAGGAAGTGACCCGCGCTCACAAAGGCTGGGCCCTGGACTCGGTGACAATCCACAATGAAGTCTTGCGACAGACCAAGGAGGAGATCACGAGCCCGCCTGGGGTAGGCACCACGTGGGGCTGCGCAGAGGTGGTCCCGGAGCCAGCTCTGCTTGGAAAGGACCGATTGAGGGCCTCCCTGAAGGCCATTAACTTGGCAGCAAAGGTTCCCTCCCTTGAAATCAGGTGACCTCCATGCCAGAGCCTCCCCCACCTGCCAGAGTGGGAGGCTAATGATTAGGTCTGACTAGCTGCTGGCTCCCCAGACTTCATTGCTTAATAATTACAAGTTACCCACATGTGTGTTTGCCAACAAGGCCTTTCCAGCTCCTACTGTGGGCTGCTCGTGGCATCGGTGAGTGCTTGGGGCAGTAGAAACAGAACTGGATTAGCAGTCCAGAGCATCGGGCCGTTCCAGCCGGGTCCCCAGAGAGCTGGGACGGGTGGAGGAATGCCTGGGTCACCTGCAGCCCTATGCTTTATCTCTCTATGAACTGGGAGTCCCTAGAGAGTACAGAGGGAGCACTTGGAGACTAACTGGAAGGTTGGTAGTTCGAATCCATTGAAGGTACCACAGGCTGGCTTGAGGAGAATACACTGCGGTCCTCTGTGACCCTCAACTCCTCCTTTCCTCTCCCACCCTACACCACTGGCCAGACTGCTCAGAGCTGGTGTGCCATCTAAGTCTGTTGCTCTAAGCAGGGGACACACACACACATGAAAATTAACCAATGACAGGAACATTTCTATCAGACTTGTAGCCCCAAGACATACTGGGTTAAGGCAGGGCGGGAGTGGAGAGATCGAGAATTGGGCTTAATTTTTCACGAATGCAGCATGCCCAGCAGGGCTGTCTTGCTTTAGTAGCATTGTTTTGAGACCAGTGTTTGTTTTGTTTTCTTTTTTTAAATCATTTTATGAGGGGCTCATACAACTCTTATTACAATCCATACACACATCAATTGTGTAAAGCACGTTTGTACATTCATTGCCCTCATCATTCTCAAGACATTTGCTCTCCACTTAAGTCCCTGGCATCAGGTCTTCACTTTTTCCCCTCCCTCCCCGCTCCCCACTGCCTCATGAACCCTTGATAATTTATAAATTATTATTTTGTCATATCTTGCCCTGTCCAACGTCTCCCTTCACCTACTTTTCTGTTGTCTGTCCTCCAGGGAGGAGGTCACATGTAGATCCTTGTAATTGGTTCCCCCTTTCCAACCCACTCTCCCTCTGCCCTCCCAGTATTACCACTCACACCACTGGTCCTTAAGGGATCATCCGCCCTGGATTCCCTGTGTTTCCAGTTCCTAGCCTCTGGTCTAGCCAGACTTGCAAGGTAGAATTCAGATCATGATAGTGGAGTGGGTGGGGGGGCGGGGGAGGCAGGGAGGAAGCATTTAGGAACTAGAAGAAAGTTGTATTTTTCATCATTGCTACATCGCACCCTGTTTTGTTTGTTTTCTTTAAAAAAGCAAAACCCGGCAACCTTTATTAAAGTCATGGATGCTCATCCCATGGCAGCTAGTTGTTTGTTTGTTTGTTTGTTTTTAATCCTATTACCTTATGCTTGCCTCTTCCAGGAAGGCGTGTATATTTATGGACTGTACATGGACGGAGCCGCCTGGGACAGACGGAACGGGAAGCTCACCGAATCCACCCCCAAGGTGCTCTTCACACAGCTGCCCGTGTTACACATCTTTGCCATCAACTCCACAGCACCCAAGGACCCCAAGCTGTACGTGTGTCCCATATACAAGAAACCCCGGCGCACCGACTTGACCTTCATCACCGTGGTGTACTTGAGAACAGTTCTGTCCCCAGACCACTGGATCCTGAGAGGAGTGGCCCTTTTGTGTGACATCAAGTGAGCTCGTTCCTGCTTGCGAGGGCACCAGTCTCATCCAGAGGCCTGGGGCTGTGTATTTCTTCTTCCTGATCACTGCTCGGCTATTCATGCCAAATTAAAAAGTGCATCTTCTTCATTCACTGGTTTCATCTCCTCGGCTTTTCTTTTCCTCATTTCAAAGTGTTCTGAACGACCATTCCAAATGAAGCCCCACCCCCTTTTTTTAATTTCCGGAAATCAGCTTCCACTCGATTTATGTTTAAGATAAAGCCCCCAGTGTTTTGTGGGAGAACAATTTGGAAGGTTAGCGTTTGGACAAAGTAAAGGAGAGTCTTGATTTGTTTCTCTGGGAATCAATCCCCAAAGGCACCTAATAGATGAAAGCGTTCCCCTTCGGTGAAACCTACCCTCCAGGCCCTGTGAGGCACCAGTGGTTTGCACTTGACTACTAACCTGAAGGTTGGTAGTTCAAACTCACCCAGGGGCACTTGCAAAAGAGAGGCCTAGTGATCAATCTCCTGTAAAGATCACAATCAAGAACACCCTTTGGAACAGTTCTACTTTGTAACACATTATATTAGCCTGGGTTCTCGAAAGAAGCAAAACCAGTGATAGATGATAGATAGCTAGATAGCTAGATAGCTGATAGATAGATAGATAGATAGATAGATAGATAGATAGATAGATAGATAGATAGATAGATACCAGAAAGTGAATAGACACATATCATATATATATATATCCATAAAGTGTCTCACACAGTTGTAGAAGCAGGTAAGTCCCGTCTGGTTCAAGGCTGTGGATCAGATGTTCAGCTGGAGGCTCTTCCTGATTCGCATAGCTGAGTGGGCTGATGAACCAGGAAGCAGAAGATCAGAGGCTGGTGGAGGTAAAAGTGGATGAATCCAACCCCACTCGGCCAAGCTTGTGACCGCAGAGTCTAATGAATCCAAGGTTGGCAGGCAATATGGCAGGCCGTTGACTCAAATCCAAAGAGCCAGAGGTCAATGAGACAGATGCGGGATTCATAGCACAGCAGAACCGTGCTGGTAGGTCACATCATGGGGGATTACCAGGCCCCAAGTGCCAAGTCACTAAGAATCCTGGCTAGCCAAGTTGAATCAGAATCCACCTATCACACATGTGGAATCCCTGGGAGTCAACGTTGACTCTTGAGTAACGGGTTTAGTTTAGTTTGCCCACGTAAGTGTTTGTGCTCACAGGCTGTCCTTTGCTCTTTTAAGTGTGATTTTCTGTGCATGTTTGTTAAACAGAGAATTGGAGGGGTCCAGTAAGTCCCTCCCCCCGGGATACAGGCGCAGAACTGTGTGGTAGGAAGTGTATGACATGGGTAATTCACTGGTATGTCTGCTCTTGTCCAGAGCATTCTGAATCGCTAGCTCTCCATCACTGTCCTCAGCCCCATTTCTGCAGGAGATAATGAAGCACACATTTCTAGGCAGCAAATGGAGAAGGAAAAAAAAACAAACTCCATCAAATGAAATTAGGTTACATGCTGAATGCCCTAAAAAGCAAAGTCTTTAAAGAGTGAAGCTATTTCTTTACTCGGTAGCAGTCTGAAACTCAGTATGAATCTTAGTTTCCTGCTAAAGGAAATTGTCAATTGAACAAAACAGATGGGGTTCTATATTGAATGCTGGTGCCGGCTTAAGGCAGACAAGAAAAGTCTTGACTGGTCTTCCATCTAGACTCCTCTCACCTCCCTCCAGCAAAATGCACCAGCTTGTCATTCCTTTTGTCTGTCTGTTTTGCAGGAGGGAATCCTTTCCAGTTGCCCCGCTCCTTCCCTTCTGTTGCCTGAATTAGGGGTGCCTGTGATAGACCAATCAAAATGGCTGAGCAGCGGCCCAGGCTTTGTCTTATGAGGTGTCCAGGGAAGACCCTAGAGGAAATGCCACTTCAGTCTTCAGTACTTTTGAAAAGTAGAAAATCAATCATGAAACACTAATTGTTTTGATGACCTCTGGAATACTCCTGGTCTTCCTTCAATGTAAAAACCACAGAGCTTTCCAGGACAATTAAAAAACACCAAGTAGCAGAGCCCCTGACCCAAGGGTGTCAGCACTCCCCTTGACCAACAGATGCATTCAAGCAACGATGGCATTCTCCAGAAGGACTATTCTCCTGGGACTAGACTTCAGAAGTGCCTGCCAGCCTGCGTGGACCCAGAGGGAGCAAACTACTGTGACCTTATAGCGAACCAAACTGCAGTTCCTGAAGCAGAGCACATATATGCTTTTATTAGTATTCCCACCCAGTTGCTATAACAATTGAAAGAAAAACTGTATAGTCTAAATCCCAGGACATCAGGGTAGGTTTTCAGAGAATAATAATTAGGCTCCATGTTTTCAAACCACTTAAAAGCCTTATGGAAAATTTGGGAAAGATGTGGAGCTCATAGAGGTCATGGGTCGGACTGTCTGAAGCCACACACATACCATTTTCTGAGCACGCTCTGCTCTAGCTGGTTCTTTTGCTCAGCAACAACACCAGGAAAAGAGAGATGGATGCTGGGGCCGGGGCCAGGTGTGTGCTGCTCAGCCACCCCTGGATCTGCTGAGAGCTGGTAGGGACCCCATTCTGCTTTCTTTATCTAGATCCAGTAAGTGATTTTCTTACATATTTTGAGCTATTGAACTTCCCTAAACACATAACCATTTTCTCTGCGAAATTGTTGCTCTTTCACTAATTACCTAATTTGCCACACTTGAGAGGAGGAGGCCTGGTGAGCAGAAAAGAGCAAAGGAGAGGGATGGTTAAGCCAACTGAAGCTGGGAGAGAGGCAAAGTCATTTCTCCCCTCCGTGGAAGCGGTCCATATATCCTCATTTTGGTCTCAGTGAAGTGAGCAGTGGGGAGTTAGCCATCCACTGATTTAAAAGGTTATTTGGCTCTGGACTTTACATAAAAATATAACCCAAAGAAACGTGTCTAGCTATATCTTCTCAAAGGCATTGGTCTTGTGGGTGATGTTGCCCTGGAAAAGCTGGGATCCACGATCATGCGGAGACCTCCCAGGAACAGGGGACTTCAGTGTGACGTAAGTTTCCATGGCTTTGGGGCTCTAGGAGAAGGATGAAGGGATAGTTAGGGAAGCCTGTGTCACATGGATGGCATTGGAGGCATGATAGCCTTTTAGTTGGGTCTGGGCTTCTCATAGACCAAGGAGGGTAGGTATTCTGAGGAAGGCGGACAGTGTGGGGCAGAGGATAACATACATGCTGACTTCATCGGCAGGGAGTAACACCATTTGGCTAGGAAATGTGGGCAGATGATAGGGAGGGATGGAAAGGCAGGTGGGGGCCATGTTGGAAGGGTCTAGAAGATGGTGGTGGACAGTACAGAGCCATTGGTAATGCTAGACTACTATGGAAGAGTAATGGGGAAATATATTAGAAAGCTAATTTCCTAGACCGTAGTCAATGAATGAATGTTGGTGCTAGAGAGACGACCGTTTTAATGGAAGCAAAGCGAGTCACTGGACAGATAGTATGGAGACAGAACTGGGCAGTTCGGACATTGAGTTGACGAGGTAGGTAGTTAGCAGAAAACGTCAAAAGATGCAGCTGCCTAGATCCTGGAAAACCCAGTGGAAAGGTTTCTTGGTCGTTTCAATTTGGGAGGAATCGCTGCTGGTCTACCCAGTGCTTACAGAGACCCACTGCAGGCTCCAGAGAGAGAGAGAAGGGAAGATCCCCGTGCTCACCATCACTCCGTGACATCTGCTAGTGAAGAACCAACAGGCAGCACGGCCGTAATGTTGCCACGTACCAAGCCTTGGTCTAAGCATGTGACGTGCATTGGGCTAGTTAGTTCTTGTAGCAATCCTGTGAGGTCAGGGCTGTTACCGTCAGCTCCAGTTTACAGATGAGGGCACTGAGGCACAGAGAAGCTGAGGGTCTCAAAGCTAGTAAGCCACAGAGCCAGGATTGAACCCAGACGGAATGGTTCCAGTCAGTGCCTCAAAGCACTTTGCTGGGACAGTATTATATATTTTTTTCTTTCCAACCCAGGGGTCGATGGCATAGAACTCTAAAATTCATAATTGGACATCCCAAACCCAAATCAAACCCACTGTCATGGAGTTAATTCTGACTATGTAGCAACCCTACATAGTGTTTCCAAGGCTAAATCTCTATAGGAACAGATTCGCCTCATTAGCCTCCCACAGAGTGGCTGGAGGGTTCGAACCAACAACCAGTGGCTAGAAACCCTCTACTTACCCGACAGTGTCTCTTTTAGTTGAGCATTGAAAACAGGACGAATACAGATGTGACTTACAGGACGAAGGTGCACCTGGTCCAGGCCATGGCGTGTTCCATCTTCTCATATGCACGGGAAAGCTGGATGGTGAACAAGGAAGACCAAAGAATCGATGCCTTTGAATGGTGGTGCTGTCCAAGACTACGGCCAGGACGGCCAGAAGAAAGGACAAATCCATATTGGAAGAAGTAGGGCCAGAATTCTCCTGAGATTCGAGGATGGTGAGACTTGGTCTGGCACACTTTGGATGTGTTATCAGGAGAGTCCAGTCCCTGGAGAAGGACGTCAGGCTTACTAAAAGAATCAGGGTAAAAGGAGGAAGCCCCGCAACAAGATTGATTGATACAGAGGCTGCAACAATGGTCTCAAACATAGCAGGGCCCGCGGAGATGGCATCGTCCCCGGCGGTGTTTTGTTCTCTGAGTCTGCGGCACCTACCAACAATGCACTACCTGGAATGAAAGGTCAATATGTCTAGAAGAGGGATGATAAGGCAAATATCAGCATGTGGTGGTATGCATGCAAATGTACATTTGAAATTCGGGAACTGTGAAGAGAAACCACAGTTTGATTTTTTTAAATCATTTTATTGGGGCTCAAATCCATACATGCATCAATTGTGTAAAACACATTTGTACATTTGTTGCCCTCATCATTCTCAAAACATTTGCTCTCCACTTAAGCCCCTGGCATCAGCTCTTCATTTTCCCCCTCCCTTCCCACTCCCCCTTCCCTCATG